ATAAGTGACTTGCCCAGGGTCACACAGCTAGTAAATTTCAGGTGTGTGAAGCCTAGATTTGCACTTAGGTCCTCCTGACTCCAAGGCTAGAGCTCTATCTATTGCACCACTTAGCTGCCCCTTCATTCTCCTATTTTATCATGTTTGTCAGTCTAATAGGTAGAACATCATAATTGTTTTAATTGGTATTTGTATTATTATTATTACTGAGTTGGAGCATTTTTTCAAATGAGTATTGGTATTTTGCATTTCTTTCTGTGCAAACTGCCTCATTTTATCATTTGATTATTTCTCTTTTGAAGAAGAGTTTTTATTCTTATCTATTTCTATCAATTACAGTCCCTCCAAGAATTTTCATTTTCCTTTTTTATCATCTTTGTCAATCTAATGGGTAGAACATCATAATTGTTTTAATTTTCATTTCCATTATTATTATTGAGTTGGAACATTTTTTCATATAGGTGCTGATATTCTGCTTTTCTTCTTTGAAAATTGCCTGTTTATATCATTTGATTATCTCTCTACTGAAGAATGGTTTTTATGCTTATCTATTTGTATCAGGTACCTACATCTTGGATATCAGACCTTTATCAGAATCCTTTGTAAAAATTTTTTCCAATCAACTATATTCCTGAGGAACTTATATTCTAATAGGAGGATACAACAAACACAAGTGATTGTCAGGGATGGAAATTGCTGTAACAGGCAATCAGGGAGACTAAGAAGAGCCTCAGGGCAGCAGGCTGATCGTCATGCTTTCTCTAGAAGCATTGATCTGAATACTTCACCAGAACAAGAGTAAGAAATGAAAAAGGGTGAGGGTAGAGGGAAAGGCAGTATGCAATCTGTGGCAGGTGGATGGCTGTATTAAGATGCCCATACTGTGTAGACCTTAGTTTTCTGATGAATGCCTTCATAGGATGTAAAAGGCACTGAAGGTAGAATAATATATACTGAATCTCCGTTTAAAATGGGAGATTTCTAACAGTAGAATCAAATGTATTTTATTTTTAACTAGGAAAAAAATTTAAAATAAAGGAACAATCTTTAGAGCTGGGGGAAGGGAGGGTTTGGCTATTAACGCTCACTGATCTTCACAGGTAACAGAGTAGACAGAGCTCAGATTTGTGATCAGGAAGAACTAAGTTTGATTTTTTTTTGTTTTTTTGGTTTTTTTTGGCTAGGCAATGGGGTTAAGTGACTTGTCCAGAGTCATACAGCTAGTAAGTGTAATGTGTCCTAGGCCGGATTTGAACTCAGGTCCTCCTGAATCCAGGGCCGGTGCTCTATCCACTGCACCACCTAGCTGCCCCAAGAACTAAGTTTGAATCTAAACTTGGGCAAGTCATTAAAACTCCCAGCCTCAGTTCCCCCATGTATAAAATGGGAACAATAACAACAAATACTTCACAGGTTTTGATTTTTTTTTGTTTTTAGAGGATCAAATGAGATAATATATACAGTGCTTTATAAACTTAAGGTACTACAAAAAGAGCTATTATTCAATGAGGATACCATGTGGGTAAAGGATGTCAGCAGAGAAATTTATAACTGGAAAAGCACTGGTCATTGGGTCACTGAGAGTGACATGACTACAAGATAACCTGAGTGCTCCACCAGTATCCATGTTACCTTACATCTTATGATGCACAGGAATGATCCCAGAAGGCTGGGATGGAGGATGTCTTGTGGCAGGTTTATGGAAGGACATGAGCCTTGGAGGATGGACAGTTCTAAATGAGTGTTTGGCTGCATCCTTAAGATAGCAGGTGTACTTCAGTGCTAGAGCATGCTCTGGAGCAGCAGAGACAGGAAAAGAGAGGACATCACCAATACCATGAGGGATTACAACTTCTTAAAGTTCCAATCATCACTCATTTTCTTCATTATCAGAAAGTGAATAATCTTTTCTGTGCTTAAACAAAAACTCTGGCAATAGCAACTTCATTTTCAGCATTCTGGATTCAATTTGTTGGCCAATTGAACCACAATTCACTTGACTCATTCATGTCTTAAAATCCTAGTTTCCTAAATCTGTGACTATCCAGGAGGGAAAGAGATTGTACATCACGGAATTCCAAAGTGAAAGAGTTTATAGCCCCATGCAACAGCCCTGGACTTTATACTTGCTCCATGAGACATCTTATCAAGCCCTTAATTCTCTGGCTAGAAAATGTAGTATTTCTCTTAGATACTCATGCTAAAGGATCTTAGCTGAGTAAGGAAAATGAGTAGATTTTGGTGGTGTATAAGAATGGGGGCTTTATAAGAGAAACACTTCAAAAACAGATAAAAATTTGGTTACAATTATCTTCATTTTATAGATGAGGAAACAGAGGCTCAAGAAATTTGTCCACGGCCAAAGTACTAATAAACAAGCCGAGCCATCATCAATTCTGATCTTCTGACTTCAAATCCAAAGAGAATACTAAGGCCAGAAGGGTTGAGTGATTTAGCCAAAGTCACAGCCAGTTACTGGCAAAGGTGGACTTAGAACCCATCACAGCATATTTTACCTCTCTTCTTAGAAAGTCAGTTTCTAATAATTAATACAACTGATTTGCCAAGATACACAATGACTCATATTCCAGAAGGCATAATTAAACCCTAGGTAAACGTTTACTCCTCTACCCTAGGGAGAGGATGAAAGTTAAACTAAACAAAAACTGAATATCTACACCAGATTTCAGGGGTGGTTTTTGGTGCCATTTCCTAGCTGAGTCTCCAAACTACAGCCTAGGGCTCATCAGTGGTCCAGGTAAGATTTCTGGAGTCTTCCTCACATTACCCTCCTCTCAAGGTATTTTTCTAACTCTGTAACTGCCTTCTTTTCTACTACCATACTATTCTAAGTCTGTTTCATATGGTAAGAAAGAACAGACAAACCGTTACTAAGAGGCAATGGTATTTGGAAAATAATATTTGGGTACCTTGGGAATCATAATAAAAATTCCAAGATGCTCAGTGGACTTGCTTCTGAGAAACCTAAAAGGAGAGGACTTCATTTGGAAGGCTGGGGGAGGGGGTGGAGCAGGATTCTCTAGGGTCATTAGATCTGACTCATTTTTAACAAAATGTCAAGAGAAAATCAGGCAGTTGCTTATGTCTTACTCTCTCATTTCTCTAGATTTTCCTGAGAACTAAAATAGGTAAGGTGAAAGGGAGAAATCGTCTTTCCTCTTTGGGCCACTTCTGGCCCACCCTTCTTGCCTGTGTAATTGCTGAGCCGATACGCTCTCTGTGGATTTGTCTCCCAATGTTTGCACATGCTATAAAGTATGCTAAGATTATCCAGCTTTGAAATCCTAATAATTCATCTTGGCTAATCTAGAATTTGGTTTATTCAAGGCAATTTTGTGACACACACACACACATATACATACACACATAAATACATATATACATGCATACATATGTATATGTTTGTGCATATGTGTATATATTTATATATGTATGTGTATATATATTTATATATTTAAAAGGATGTTTAGAGATGTGGTCCATACTTTTTTCCAGTTGTTTTATAGAATACCCTTATTAACCTCATCTAGAAACCATAAGAATCGCAAGCTACTTGTTTCCATCAAACACTAGTTTGGATTTACTCTACAAAGAGAGTCCTCAAAGTTGATTTTTTGGGTTTTTAGCCCCAGAGTGCAAACAAAATTTCTAACAGAAAAAAAAAGAAAACAAATAAGCAGCTCATGTAAGATTTTAAACTACAACAGGCCAACAATCCTTATCTTCAAAAACTAACAGTTAACTAGTAATAATAATAGTAATAACAATCCTGATAATGACAGCATTTATATGGTGGTTTAATGTTTGCAAAACACTTTATAAATATCACCTCAGTTTATCCTCACAAAAGTAATAATTATTCTCATTCTCCCTTAAATGCTCTTACTAATAAATCATTCATTCGATTCCAATAAGCATTTGTTAATCACCTACTACATGCCAAGCACCTTGCTAAGTAAACATCGAGGACGTAGACAAAAATGAAACTGCCCTAACCTCACTTAACTTACTTTCTATTGTGTGTATATGCATGCACACATGTATGTGTACACATATAAACATGAATGCACAAGCACATGCTTATACATGTGAGTGCATATGTGCATAAACACATATAAATATGTAGATAAAGATATATATCCACATATAAACATGTAGATATATAAAGATATATATATCCACATATAGATATATCTATATAGATAAATAGATATAGAAGGATATATAAAGACATGTATATGTAGATATAAGTCTATATAGACCTATCTACAACACATGTTATATATATAACATATAAACACATAAATACATACAGATATAAATATATTACATATATGCGGACACATATGTGTTTCTATATACAGACTATACACATGCGTAAATGTATTCATGCATACGCACACAGGAGTGTTGCTGCATTGTGTACATGCACACAAATGTGCACAATACACATGTGTATATACACCACATAGATAGATATGTCTCTACATATATGCATACATGTGTGCATACATATACACACATTTTACCTAACCTTATGTGGTGTTCAGTCTATCAAATGGCAATTTGAAATCACCATCCTGATAATATCAAGATGAAATAGATAGAGGTGGAAATTTTCTCTCCATCTGCCAAGTCATGAGACCAAGTTACACAATACAATGACAAAGAAGCAAAATCAGGGCCCCTCAGACTTCTAAGCCCAGGGTTTTGGTCTCAGTTAGTTTAACTTAGGCTAAAGGATTATGGGGATAACAGAGCAGTATAGCTATGTATATACTTAATGCTTCCCTTAAGGCAGGGGTGAGGAACCTGTGGCTTCGAGGTCACATGTGGCCCCCTAGGTCCTCAAGTGCAGGCCCCTACTTGAGGACCTAGAGGGCCACATGTGACCTTGAGGCTGCAGGTTCCCCACCCCTGCCTTAAGCTAAAGCAAGCATCCAATATGAATGAAAATAAACATTAAGTAAATATCTTACGGCTGGAAATGCAATAGGCCAGTCTGCAGTTGATCTTTCTGAAGAGCTGTTTGTTGATGGGCCAGAGTACAAGTGTGAAGAGCTGGATGGTGTTTATTATCAGCCCGGACACAATGAATATGTAACAAACTATAAGGTGGCACAGGAACTGGGATTTCAGAAAGCCAATGATGTCCATGGTCTTGTCTGTGCGCGCAAGAACTTCTTCACGACAACTTTTTCTTTTTCAGGGGAAAAAAATGGTGAGCAGCCCAGGCACTCAGGAGAAAGCCTATAAAACACAAAACCAAAATTAAATGTTAGGAAAACATCACTGGCTCTTTTTGGGTTAAATAGAGTTTGCTTTTGTTTCTGCTCATTAGAAAGCTGCATCATTTACTTCAGTTTCGAGCCAATTTACCGCTTTCCGAAGCAAGCATTTTAAAATATTTAATTTCTAATTCACTTAAAAAAAAAAAAAAAGGCAGAACCGATCTCAGGGGAAGTTACTAGAAAGAGTCCTGAAATGGACATCGGAAGATGTGAGCTCCAGGTAGGGCTATCAAAATAGAAACTTTGAAAAGAAGTGAGGAGGAGCAAATGAACTAATTAACAAATTAATTAAGGGTTAACAAATCAACTCAACACATCATTAAAAAAACAACTGGAACAAATATTGGCCAAGCCTGTCATAATATCACAGCCAGTTCACAACTGTCATGATTTGAGTGAGGCAATATACCCAAAGGGCTATAGTACTGGACTTAGAGTTGGGAACACCTTGGTTGGAATTCCATCTCTGACCCTAGCAAGGCGACCATAGGCAAGTCACTGAACTGCTCTATCTTCAGTTTCCTCATCTGTGAAATGGGTACAATAATATCTCTAAGGATACTGATTGGCTCAAGTAACAAATAGTGGGTAAAGTTCTATGCAATGTCAGTGATTATTGTTAGTATCATCATCATCTTCATCATCATCATTATTAACCCCAGTTCTTATTTTGACTCTGCCACTCACTAGATCTTGTGTAAATTCACTTAATCTTTCTAGTAATCTTTAATCTTAATCTTTCCAACTCTAGAGAGTTGGAAAGGAACCCAGTGGTTATCTATTCCAAGTTATACATGAAAGACATTCCCACTATGCCATATTAGTCTCTGCTTGAAGATCCTAGGAGACAGAAAATGCACAGTCTCCAGAATGAATAAGAATTTTTTAAATGAGAATAAATGAGCATATATCTGTATGTTTATATTTATATAGCACCTACTATATGCCTGGCACTTCATAAATATCATCTCATTAGATCCTCACAACAACCCTGGAAAAGCTGCTATTATTATCCTCATTTTACATTTGAGGAAATTGAGACAAACAGGCTAAGGGACTGGAAGAAGGTCACAATTAATCTTTCCCAGCCCCTGTTCAACGAGGTAATAGGTGTATCAGTGAACTCCAATAAACAACTCTGAAGGAAAAAACAAAACAAAACAAAACAAAAACCCAAACTAAAAAGTTCTAAAGTTAAAAGGACACACACTAAAGAAATTAGTGATTAGGGGAGACAAAGATACACTCCTAAGTACATAAGATCTTGTCCAACAACAGCTAAACAAACAAAAAAAATTTCAAAGAAATGGAAAAGTAGAATCTGTTTAATCTTGTTTTATTTTTTTATTAGGGTATGGTGAGAGAAAAGAGGCAAGACAGATTATATGAGAAATATGGAAACAAGAGGAAGGAAGTAAAAAAGAGAATTGACATAAAGGAGGAGTAAAGAAAGAAAAGAGGGATGGCACACAGACCAAATTCTAATCAGAGATATAGAACTACAAGCCATCTCACAAGCCACCTAATCCGATTCCCTGACTTAAAAATAGAGAAAATTAAGGCAGTTAAGTGATTTGTCCAAAGCCTCACAAATGTGAAATTGGAATCTGGGACCTCAGAATTGACTATAGCATTCTTTCTCTTCTAATACCAACAATTCATATTTATTTAGTGCTTTGAAGTTTTGCTTTGAGCTTTCCTGTGAATTATCTCCATTCTACAGATGGGGACAGAGGGGCTCAGAGGTCAGATAATTTGCCCAAGGTTACACAGCTATTATCAGAGTTGGGATTACAACCTAAGTCTCCCATCTCTGCTACTTATTAACTATCTGAGCTTAGAAAAAAACAAGTAACCTTTCTGGTCCTCAATTTCCTCACCTATTAAATAAGAGTTGTCATAGATTTCAAAAGTCCTTCCCAGCTTGAAATTTGAAGGCTTTCTTGTTCCCTCCACTACACCACACAGATCTAAGTATTCTGCCACACACACAGGCCTCTCTAGTCCACTTGCGGCCACTCATTTCTGTTTCTAGTTATTTACTCATCATCTTACAGATTTAAGAACAAAGTTAAGTCTGTAAGAGATGGGGAAAGTGGTCCTTAATCATATGTCACTGCCTTCTGACAGATATATATAAAAAGAGCTACGTATGTACACCCACCCAAGCCAAACAGAGACTGAACCCCACTACTGATATGCCGTGAATGTTAATTAGGGCTTGTTTCACTGTCTAGATTGGCCATATGGATGGTCTGGGACATAAAGACAAACTACAGAAAATATTCTGTATATGTGCATGTATATGTGTATGTGTGTATACATGTATGTGGATATGTATGTGTGTGAGAGCATTGTATACATGCATGTGTATACACATGTATGTGTATACATGTATGCACACAAAGCTCTGAGTGCATATATACAAATGCGCACATATACACATACATGTACTGGTAACAGGGAAACAATCATTCAACCAGTTTTCTTTCACCTTTGATGGGAACTCTTGATTACCTACACACCAGGAGTTCATTCCTTGGCACCTAAATCCAAGAAACCACATGATCTGAAGAATCATCATTTGGGCTCAAATATAGCCAGACACCTTTCACAAACAGTCATAACACATACTTTTCCAGGTCTTCGAATTTTCAAGGTATTCCATTAAACTGACAACTAACTACAGCAGAGTCCTTGGCTTTTAAAAGTGATTGATGCTTATTTACAACTTAATAGCCTGCTCTGATTTGAAGCTGAATATTCAAAATGTCTAATCTTTGTCTTTGATTACCCTACAGTAGTTTAATGGAAGCAATGAAGCCTGATTTTCCACCTTGATTTCGGGAGACTGATGCTTGCCAATTATTTTGACATTTCCAATGCTTCTCCAATTTAACCACAGGGAAGTCATGTGATTTGCCAAGGTCATACACTATGGAAAAGCAGAGATCAACTCATTCCATTCCAGAAGGTCATATAAGTCACTGTCACAAAATACCACTTATTAAATTAGAGTGTTTCAGAATAGAAATGTGGACTCAGAGGCAGCAGGAATTTCAGAAGTCATAAAGTTCTTACACATTCCTAAACTTCGAGCCTTTGGATAACCCAAAGGTGTGGCACTAAACCACATGCCCAACCGAGTACAGGGAGTCCCTTCATTAATGTTGCCCCAACCACCATTATAGCAACGGTGCTGATACATCATAACCATATACCACAGTAGTGGCTAGCATACAGTAGGCACTTAATAAATGCTTATTTCTTTCCTTCCCTCCTTCCTTCAAGACCTTTTCAAGAACCCCCGTCTCTCCAGATCATCTCAGTCTATCAATCAGAAAATGATTGTGCGGGAGGTGCTTTCTCCCCAATCCCAATATCAGGGATCACCCAGTGAGGACCAGTAAGTGTCCAACCTAAAAAAACACCAATACTTCTCCCATTTGATGCTTTTAAACTTCAAATGTTGGCCTCCCAAGAAGATATGTCTGAATTATACCATTGATCCTATATAACTAACTGTCCCTTTAAAGTTATTTTATCTAACACCAACAGAGACGGGGACTGATGCCTAGGTAATGGAGATAAGCAAATGCTACTCAGATGTTCAAAGGTGAAGGAGCTGAATGTGAATTCCTACCAGAAAAGCAAAATGAACTCTCAGACTAAAAAATGTTGATGAAAGGCTCTATGTCTGCCTGAAAGACAATACTACAAGGTTCCATCTTTGGTTCTGGCTGCCCCATTCCATATTTTTGGTCAGACTTGGACTGAAGACATAGAAAGTGTTTTAGCATGGTCTTACAATCTAGAAGTGAATGTGATCCATGAAGCCATCCAGTTCCATGGCTCTCCAGACATACCCTTTCCTGGTCACTATTCCTATAGTTGTCTCCCTCTACTAGGATGTAAATTCCTTAAGGACCCAACTCTCTATTTGCATCCCCAGTGCTTAGGCAACTAATACTAATAATAACTAACATTTATATAGCACATTAAGGTCTACAAAGCACTTTACAAATATTATCTCATTTTATCCTGACAGCAACACAAGGAGATAGGTGCTATGTCATGTGAGGAAAATGAGGTGCACAGTGGTTAAGCAACTTGCCAGGGTCACACAGCCAAAAAATATCTCACGTAGAATTTGAACTCGGGTCTTTCTGACTCCAGGTCCAGTGCTCTACCCACTGAGCCACCTAGCTGCCTAGCTTGGTACTGACACAAAATAAATATTTAATAAATACTTTTTCTTTCATTCACATTTATCAGATTTGAAGATAATATACTGGACAGCTAGGTGGTGGAGTAGACAGAGCCTGTTCAGGAAGACCCAAGTTAAAATCTAGCCAGAGATACTTACTAGCTGATTAAGTCACTGAACCCTTTTTACTTCAGTTTCCTCAAATGTAAAATGAGCTAGAGAAGTAAATGACAAACCATTCCAGTATCTTTGCCAAGAAAACACCAAATGGGGTCACAAAGAGTCAGGCACAGCTGAAACAACTAAACAACAACAACAAATAAAGCTGAGAAAGATTGCTAATAGGCTGGATGGCAGAAAAAAATCCAAAAAGACATCGATTCAATTCAGTAAGCATTGATTAAGCACCTATTTTGTGTAGGAACACGGAAACAAATGCCTGAGTCTCTAACATACAAGTGAGTAAAAATGTATATATACAAAGTAAACACAAAGTTACCACAAGGGGAAAAAGGACTCCTAACAAGCAGGATCAGAAAGTAATAGGCAGCAACAAAAGACCCAAATTAACAAGATGAAATTTAAGAGGAATAAATCTGACTATATGTGGCAGAGGGGAGGAATTCTAACTCTTCTAAATGCTACATCTTTCTCATTACCTAGCACATTTTTCTGCACATAACAGGCAATATTTGTTGCAAATTCAATTCCAAATAAAAATAAACTGCACAAATATTTGTTAAGAAAAACCT